AGTTCCTCTTTTACCACAGCCCTGCCAGCTCTTTTCATTTTTTGTATTTTTAATCTTCACCACCTGACAGGGTTTAGGTGGTATCTCATTGTGGTTTTATCTGCATCTCCTTATGTTAAGGGATGTTAAGCATTTCCTCATACACTTTTTGGATTGTCATATGTCTTCCTTAGAGAGATTTTATTCACCTCATTTTCCCATCTTTTATTTGGGTTAATCCCCTCCCCCACAACCCCTGGGTAAGCCACTTGAGTTCCTGTGTATTCTGGATATCAGTCCCTTATCTGAGGCACAGTTTACAGAAATGTTCTCCCATCCCAAAGGTTGTCAATTCACACTAATTACTGTATAATTTGCTATGCAGAAACTTCTCAATCTGATATAGTCTGACTTATCTAATTTAATGGCTATTGCCTATACTTTGGGACTTATTTATTTAAGAAGTCTTTGCCTAACCCAACGTTTCTCGGAGTTTCCCCAGTATTTTCCACCAATAGTTTTATACTTTCAGGTCTTAGGTTCAGATCTTCGATCTATTTTAAGTTGATTTTTGTTAATGGTGAAAGACAGGGATTCAGTTTCATCTTTCTGCAGGTGGATACCGAGTTTTTGCAGCACCATTTGCTAAAGAGGTTTTCCATTGCCCCCTGAATTGACTGATATCCTTTGTCAAAAATCAGTTGGCTGTAAGTTTTGAGGTTTATGACTGGGGTCTCTATTCTATTCTATTGGTTCACCTTTCTGGTTTTGCATCAATACCATGCTGTTTTGATTATCACAGCTTCATAGTATATTTTGCAGTCAGGGAGTGAGATGCCACCCACTCCACTCTCTAGTGCAGGATTTCTTTAGCAATACAAGGTCTTTTATGATTCCAGATGAGTTCTATGATTTTATTTTCTAGATCTATGAACAATGTCTCTGGTATTTAGATTGAAATTGTGTTAAGTGTGTAGATTCATTTGAGTAGAATGGCCATTTTGATTATATTAATTCTTTTTTTCACATTTTATTTCATTTTCCTTTATACATTCAATCACATTATTTAGCTTACAAAATGAATATTTCAACAGACAAACATTTCTCCCTAGTCCAGTTGATAAAACTATAAAATAGCATCAGCAGATAATACTAATTTAGGAATATGGGGTGTCCTTCCACCTTTTTGTGTCATTTTCAATATCTTTTAAAAGATTTTTCTAGTTTTCTTTGTAAAAGTCTTTGACTTCTTTACTTAGGCTTATCCCCAGGTATCTTATACATTTTGTGGCTATGGTAAAAGGGATTCCTTTCATCAGATCCATTTTGTTAACTTGTTGTTCATATACAGAAATGATATAAATATTTGGATGTTGATTTTGTATTTTGACATTGTACTGTGTAAGTATACCATCATGTCATCTGCAAATAGATATTTTCAACTCTTCTTTGCCTATTTAAAAGCCTTTTATATTATTTTCTTTTCTGATTGCATTGGCTAAGACTTCCTGTACTATTTTGAAAACAAGTGGAGAAAATGGTCAGCCTTGTTTAGTACCAGTTTTTAGTGGAAAAGCTTTTAGCCTTTCCCTTTCAGTATAAGAGTTAGATATAGGTTTTTCATATATGGCTTTTATTGTGTTGAGAAATGACACTTCTATACCAATCTTGCTAAGAGTCTTAATCATGAAGGTATGTTGTAATTTATCAAATCCTTTCTCTGCATCAATTTTAATGATCATGTGGTTTTCATATTTCTTTTTGTTAATATGGTGTATTATATTTATGATCTTGCATACGTTGAACGAAGCTTGCATCCCTGGAATAAAGCCTACCTGGTCATGATGAATAATCTTGTAGTCTTAAGGTGGAAAGTTCTATAGATGTCTGTCAAGCCCAGTTGATTTATAGTATCATTTAGGTCCTGTATCTTTCTGCTTTTTTTTTTTTTCATCAATCTGTCTAAAGGAGATAATGGGCTGTTGAGATCTCCATCAATTACAGTGTTGCAACCCATCTCTCCTTTTAGCTCTAGCAGTCTTTCCTTCACATATTTAGGTGCTCCTGAGTTGAGTGCATAGATATTTATAAGTGTTATGTCTTCTTGATGAATTATTCCATTTACTACTATATAATGCCCTTCTTTGTCTTTTCTTAAAGTTTTTGTCTCAATGCCTATTTTGTCTGAAATCAGTATCACAACTCCAGCCATTTTTTGGTATCTATTTTCATGGAATATCTTTTTCCCTCCCTTTACTTTTAATCTATGTATGTCTTTATCCGTAAGGTGCATTTCTTGTAGGCAAAAGATAGAGGGTTTACATGATTTTTTTTCCCATTCAGCCAGTCTGTGTCTCATGATTGGAGCATTTAAACCATGGATGTTCAACGTTATTATCAATATTTCTGAACATGTTCCTATCATTAAGTGAGCCATTTTCTTGATTGTTTTCTTTTTCTCTTATATCTGTCTGTCTGACTTTAGTTTTCCTGGTATAGCACTCCCTTCAGAATTTTTTGAAGAGCTGGTCTGGAATTGGTACATTCTTTTAGGTTTTCTTCATCCGAGAATGTTTTTATCTTTTTTTTTTCCCCATATGAAGGATAATCTTGCTGGGTTTAGTGTTCTTGTTTGAAATATTTTTTTTCTTTTAACACTTTGACAGTATTTCCCCATTCTTTCCTTGCCTGCATTGTTTCTGATGAGAAGTCCAATGTTAGGATAACTTTTGTAAGTAACCTGATGTTTCTCTCTTGCCAATGTTAGTGTCTTGTGTTTGTCTGTGGTTTTGGTCAATCTGGCTATGATGTATCTTGGAGAGGCTCTTCTTGGATTGAGACTATTTGTGGTCCTATGTATTTCTTCGGTCTGGATATTTGAATCCCTCTCTAGGTTTGGAAAGTTTTATTCCAGGATTTCATGGAATAAATGATCAATACTCTTATTATTTTCTTCATCTTCTGGGATTCCAATTATCCCATGTTTGAGCACTTGATTGTGTCTAGTATTTCTTCCAAATTATCCTCATTTTTCATGGTTGTTTTCTCAGTCTTTCTGATAATTTTTTCTAAGTTAGAAATCTTGTCTTGTACAATTGAGATTTGATCTACTTTAAATACTTTCAAGGGAGGTTTTAATTTCTTGTATCACATTCTTCATCTCTCACAATTCTATTTGATTCTTTTTTATTGTGTCTATTTCTTCTTTCAAATCTCGAAGAGCCTTCCTTATCTCCTAGAGCTCATTGTCTGTTTAATCTTGCATCTCATTTAGTTTGGTCAATATAAATATTCTGAATTGTTTATCTGACATTTACACAAGTTCAATTGTGTATTTTATGGCTGATGAGGAATTGATGTTTGCCCTTGGGAGAGAGACATTTTGTTGGTTGCTCATATTGTTTGCGCCTCTGTGATGGTTTCTAGTCATCTGGTGATCTATACATTCCTTCCTAAATTCTTCTACATATCTCTGAGCATTCAAAGGCATGCAGGAGTAGGCAATTGCTGATATCTCTTCTGCTCTACCTCCCCATTGCTCACCAGCACTTTGCACTGTTATCACTGGTTCTCGATGACCCAAAGTCCTCCCTGTTTGTAGAGAACAGGTGTGCCTGATATTGAGCCTCTAAGCTTCAGTTCAGGAACAAAGAAGAGATTGCATGGTGTGCAACATATGCCACATACTATAGAAATTTCCAAAGTCCTGAGAGTTCAAAGGCAGGTTTGGGTGGGGATCAGCCATGGCTCTCAGCAGTATAGCCTTCCAGTTGTAGGCAGCCTGCCATACAGCAAGGCCCTTCACTGGAACAGGTGTCTGGATGGGGCAAGTAGGGACACAAGACTGTCTTAAAGTCCCAAGCAACAAACGTGAGAGTACAAAAGGTAAATGGGGAAGGGGATGATGTAAAGCCTTCCAGGTACAGGTGTCCATATGGGGCAGGGAGGAGCACAAGATTGTCTCAAAGTCCCAAGCAGGAACCTGAGCATCCAAAGGTGAGTGGGGGAGAGGATGAGCCAGGGGTCCCACCTATAAAGGCTTCCAGCCACAGGTGGTCTGCTGTATGTTTTTTTTTTTTAAGCTTTTCTAGCTCTTCTCAGTGAGAGTTTATTTAAAACTTTTCTCTGCTATATGAGAAGAGTCTCTGATCTATCTTTTTATGAACAGGTACCAGCACTTAACTACTGTTAGGGCCAGTCTCCACTCATTACTCTTCTTTTTCAGTTTTCTTAATGTTTCTACTTTTTAGCCCTATATGAGCTTTATTTATTTATTTATTTTTTTATTTATTTTTTTTTTTAGAGAGATTTTCACTGTAGGGCGCGTGCGCTCGCCAGACAGACAGAGAGAGACATAGAGACAGAAAGCGAGAAATCACCCCCCAGGGGGGATGGTCACGCCGCAATCCCTTCTCCTCCATTCTCCTCTCGGGATCTTGGGCACGCACGCACTCGCGCCCGGCGTGAGATTTAAGCCACCGGGTCCGGGACACGAACCGCGGTCGACTACGTGGGAGTCCAGCGACATAGCCATTACGCTAACTGCTGGTTCCCTTATTATTTTTTAAAGAGATTTTTGCTATAGGATGCGTGCGTTTGCCAAATAAAGAGAGATAGAAAGCAAGAAATCATCCCCTATGGAGATGGCCATGCTGCAGTCCTTTTCCATTCATTTTCTTCTCAGGATTTTGGGCACACACACACACGTACATAAATGCCTGACATGAGTTTTAAGCCACTAGTTCCAGTACTCGAACCTCTGTCGACTATGTGGGAGTCCAGCAACATAACTGTTATGCCATCTGCTGGTCCCATCTATTTGAACATTACAGTTAGCTTGTCTAGTTACCAAATAATTTATTTTGGTATTTTATTAATAAATTATGAGTCAATTTACAGATAATTGACATAGATATAATTTTAATATTCCTGTATAGTACTGGATCTGTCTTTCTATTACTTCAAGACTTCTTCTGGGGTCCTCAGTAGCCTTAACCTTTCCTTTTCTCCTCTGCTTACAGCAAGATGGATTCTGGATATACTCTGAGTATTGTAATAACCATCTGGATGCCTGTATGGAGCTCTCCAAGCTGATGAAAGACAGCCGCTACCAGCACTTCTTTGAGGCCTGCCGCCTCTTGCAGCAGATGATTGACATTGCTATTGATGGTTTCCTTTTGACTCCAGTGCAGAAGATCTGCAAGTATCCCTTACAGTTGGCTGAGCTCCTCAAGTATACTGCCCAAGACCATAGGTAAGGGCTTGAGGAATTGAGAGGTGAGGAAGGGAGCCTCTTCTATGCATTGGTTCTTATTAAGAATGTATGTCTTTTTGTCTTTTCTGAGCTTCTGCTGGCTTATCTGCAAAGTAGAATGATGCGTTCTTGCTTACTGTTTGTATAAAGTGAGGAAATGCTTACTACTTTTAACTGTAAAGTAGTAAGCCAATATGCATACAAAATTAATATGCATCATCATTATCATACAGCTTAGGCCCTACTTTAAGGGACTTTGTAACCTGGTTTTCAGTCTTAAGCTCAGTCAAATGTGTCAACTTTCTGTTGAATTGTATTTTCCACTTTTCTTGATAGATTTAAATGTCCTGATAACAGCCTGCCCAACTTGTTGGGTTTGGTAGGAGCAGGGAAAGTAGGACATCTACTTGAGATTCATTGTTTCTTTTCCTTGTGACTGAAAACCCTGCCTTAAAACCCTCTTGCCCTCTGGGTCCTCTTT